AAATATATATATATACATATATATATAAATTGAATTTTGGGAAACTTTAACGGTGCTGCCAACTTTGGAAAAAGTCATCCCAATTTACTGTGTTGAGTTGGCATTGTACAGAAATGGACAGCCATATTGGTCTAGAAATGTTAATTTTTTTATTTTTATTTTTTTCCATGTGTACAGGGGTAACACATCATACTAAATATGTAAGGTCATGTCTACATGGGTTTGATTACAGAAACTAATAAAGTATTCTCTAAATAATGAAAAAAAGAATAAGATAAGACTATAAGAGCAAGAAGCAATTTAAATATGTTCAGGGACCATATTCATCTCCAGAATTAAGGATTATTTTAATGTTACATCATTGCCTTTTCTCTTTTACTTTCCTTTTCAGTTTTATTTTAGGGTTCCCTATTTTTAACGTTCATACAAAGATTTCTTTAACTGAAATACTGAATAGTTTCTTTGGTGCGAAAACTATAATAGTACACAGGATCCTAATGAGATAATTAATAATGTGAAATAGGAAGTAAAGGGCTAAAGGTGTAGGGAAAGTGGGAAGGGTGGGGGAAAGGTAATAAGGGAGAGGAAAAAATATGAGAAATTGAAAAAATGAAAATAAAGTCTTTGTAAATGGAGAGGGGAAGAGGGTGTGAAGAGAGGGCAAGGACAAGGGGAAAAAAAGAGAATCAATACCTACTATGTAAAAGTACAGAATCCCAATGATAAATGTAACTGTATTGTATACCTAGATTGTACCAATAAACTCAATTAAAAAAAAAAAAGAAGGGTAGGAACTCCGTGGTAAATGGATATATCTCGGAAGCATTAAGAATAAATGCTAGTTGAACAAATATTAAAAAAAAAAATAGCCAGAAAAGTTAACTCTTTACTTACCTACTACATACTCCATGTAGCTGATCTCAGAGCCAAATCCCACATATTTTTAAAGGATGCTTCATATAAAAATGAATGCCACATAAACAAATAAAATTAGCTCTAAGGCTAGGAATTTAAATCAGTTGAGCCACCGCCTGCCTTGCAACCAAGCACAAGGTCCCGAGTTTGATCCCCGCACCAGAAAAAAAAAATTAGCTCTGGGACTCTTGAAAAGAGTGCTCTTCACACATGAGCTTTACTTCTGACCCATTCTGGTCTTCAATCCAACAGTTTTCTGGTCCCCAGGTGAAAGGAGCTTAGGCAAGGGCATCTATGTCTAACAGCAAGGGCATGACGAGAATCCCCTGCAGACCTCCGGAGGAGACGCTGTTCACAATCACCAGGATGAACTGTTTTCAGAGACAGACGTGGCTACTGAGGCTTAGTCCCGCCACAGCCAGCAATGCAAAGCCTCTTTTTAAGAGAAGACTGTATGACCTGGCAATCCCTCCTGTGACTTCACAGCCTTGCTGAAAATCAGTCTAACAGTAGCCGTTTCTCAAAACCTGCAACCAGCGCTGTTGAGACTTACCTGTCTGGTTTAGCAGCTGGGCCGATCTTTCTAAACTAGACCATCCTTCATTGTCGTATCCAAACCGGAAAGGCCAGATGGCCACAGAGACCTCTTCGGTTGATGCCTGAGGGATTGATTAATGGTAATTTAGGATAACTGTGAAAATAGCAGTTTTGGTGACCTAGTTTTCTCCCCCTCCCTAACAAAATTCATATTTCAGCAAAAAGATTTTCTTAGACATCTTAATAATCATCAATAAAGAGATATTTTGCTACTTGGCATTCTCATGATAAATATTTCATGAACATCTACCTTAAGCTCGGGAGTTCAGAGGAATGTTTCAAAAGTGAAAATGAGTGTTTATAACAAGCATTGCTGGGCTGGGTATTTAGCTCAGTGGTTCCACTACCTGCCTCACAAGCACAAGGATCTGAGTTCGATTCCAAGTACTAAAAAAAAAGCATTGCTTATTATAGCAAGAAACTAGAAACAAGCTGGCTGCCCACCAAAAAGAAAAGCAATAAGCAGATGTTACATACTATAAATCATGGGACAGTACATCTCCCCAGTAAATAAATTCTGCACTAGGAAAAGATATAAACAAATAATGTTGTACATCAGAATATTACTTGGCCCTAATAAATGAATTAAAGCTACATATTTCTTTCTCTTTTTTTTGGTACCGGGGATCAAACTTGGGTCCTTGAGGCAGGTGGCAGAACCACTGAGCTACATCCCTGCCTGGCAAAGCTACATATTTCTATGTGAATGAATCTCACAAAAACAATGTTTAAAAGTTGCAAAATATATATCAGATGTCTTTCCTTTCAGAAATGGGGACTGAACACATGGCCTTTGCACTGAGCTACAACCTCGGCCCTTTTGGGGGGTGGGTACCAGGGATGGAACTCAGGACCTTGTGCTTGTGAGGCAGGTGGCAGAACCTCTGAGCTAAATCCCAGCCCAACTTTTTTCTTTTGAGATAGGATCTCACTAAGTCATTACATTACTCACACTGGGTTCAAACTTGCAGTTCTCTTTCCTTCACCTCCCAGAGTACTGAGACTACAGATGTGGTCCATTACACCTGGCTAGATATCCTTTAGCGTGAAAAACATGAACACAACAATACTGTCTAGGGATCTATCATATATAGTAACAATAAAAAAAGGTAGGACAATTTTTTAAAATACTATATTCAAAATAATGGTAACTCTTGCAAGGGAGAATCATATACAGTGGGATATACCAGAGGCCTCTGCCATATTTATAAAGGGACCACCCTCGTGTAATCTAGTCAGGAATGTGGTACTACCCCAGGACTTAGAAGCACAGCCCCCCTTGGGGTCCATGATCTGGTGAGAGAATGTACTGCCTGATCCTAACCATCCTTCTCCACTGCATCCCAGACCTGCATCAGGACTCCTGTGAAAGACAATGGCTGGTTACGAACAAAGCCAGGACCTCGTCAAACTCGATAGTACTGCTCAGGTTGGGAGAAGGAAAAGGTAAGCTCAGCACACATGTTCTACAGCCAAGAGCTGAGAGTCACATGTTTACACAAGGGTGATGATATGTAGCGAAGACCACGAAAAGAGAATGGAACCATCAGCAGAGCATTCCAGAGACGGGATTATATTCATCGAGCTGCCCTTCCGCACAAGCATCCATCTGTGATTCATTCTGGATTTCATCATTTCAAGGCTTGTTATTCTTCCACTCTTCCCATCTCAGTAGATGTCATCTGCCTTCTTCCAGGAGCTCCAAACAGAAGCATAGGGGCTGTCCTCGATTCCTTCCTTCTGATCGACAGCCTCCAGCCCACATACAAGCCTACCAGCTCTGCTTTCTAGAACTTTCCACCCCTGTCCAACTCACTGCTGCCCCACCAGGGGACACTGCAGTCATCTCCCCCAGACTGCAGGTCCCCGCTTCTCCTCATCTCCAATAAATTTTCCTACAGCTGCCAAATTGATGCATAGCATTTTGTTCTCTGGAATCACTGCGTAAAACAAAGCCAGAACTCCCGCTACGGTTCATGGGCCTATGTGATACGGCCTTCCCCAGCCTCTCCAAATCCGTCTTCTACCATTCCACCACCCTTCAGCCATGCTGGTCACCCTGACACTGCTCAAACCCACCAGGTCAGCTCTCCCTCAGTCCTCTGTGTAGCTCTTCGAACAACTGTCTTTTTCTCAACTTTCAGGAGTTTTTGGTGTTTTGTTTTCATTTCTTTTTTTTTTTTTTTTT